TTCAAGTTTCCAGGAGAGTGCTGATCACTGCAGGCGTGAAAGGGGACAACCTGAGCCCTGGGAAAGAGTCATCCAAAAGAATTAGAGAGGATGGTATACACTGGGTTGGGGGAGAATTAGTGCCTTTTCCCACCAGCCAGACTGGGAAGCCTCATAATTCATGAGCATCAGGTAGGGACTCAGAAGTGAGAAGTGGTGAGCACTGGGTGTAAAATGCAATTAATGAATCCTTGAACACTACATCAAAAACTAATGATGTACTACATGTTGGCTAATTGAACATAATAAAAATTTTTTAAAAAGTGGGAAATAATTAGCCCTAGGATAAATACGCCTCTGGGTCCACCTAGCAAATCCTGAAAGCAAAACCCAAAAGCATCAAAGTGTTTCTAAATAACAGAACTGCATTCTAGAACAAAGCACAAGAATATTTAGGGGATACAATTATATTCAGCACCCAAAAAGATGAAAGTCTGGCATCCATACCAGGCATGCAAAGAAAGAAGAAAACATTACCCATTATAAGAAGAAGAAATCAATCAACTGAAACTGACCCAGAACTCACAGATTCTTTCTCTTACATGAGCCCTGCTTAATCTCCACTTCTTTGGAAATTTCTTCACTTATTTTATGTATTTTTTTTCTAGTTTCACTGAGAATGAAGTTTTCATTTTAACCTTGCTGACGTTCCATGCCATCTTGACACTAGAAGGGTCAAAGATTTATGGAAAATATCAGAGCCAAGGCCAAATAATTATCAGTGGTTAATGGACTTATTATTTATTGAATGACTCCTTAAGCATTACGCAACCTATGGGTCTAACCATAGGGACAGTACTGAAGTCTGTAATCACATCTACATAACACATATGCTCCCAGCTTTGACAGGTTGACTAATGTCTCCTCTAAGAGGACACATCCATATATTGTTATGCATCATGAAAAAGGGTCATGAAAACACCAGTACTGTCAAATTATGCAGGTATAAAATAGGGTTTATTAGAGAAAAAACTTACTAGTAGAAAGTAGTCAAGTGCATGGGATCCCTCAAATCTAATTATCCCAGAGCTCAGGCCAGGCATAGAGGGTCTCTATACACTGTGGCCAACTTTCCAATCAAGAGGGCCCCTCTGTCCTTAATTTTTTACATATCTTTTACAGTGATGGGTCAGAGTGGGGTGAAGTTTAGAACTGCTATGATTGGTCAGAAAAAGGGAGACTCCAGAATCCCACATCTGGTATCTGCTTATTTGATTGAGCCAGCTCAGGTCTGCTGAGCCACTTCTCTGCCAAATGACCATATGGAGGAGAAAAATGAACCTCCAGAAACATCCAGATTTGTTTCTCTTCAAATGTTTTAGAGATATGATCTGATACATCAATTACCCGAATTTATATAGTCACCAATCATGCTGTAATGGATTTTTAGTATGTTAATTTTGATTGCTACTCAAAATGAAGACAGTTGCCTTAGAACTGTAGCCTCACTGGGTCTCCATTTCTTTATTACTTGAAAAAAGAGGGGAAGGTGTTGAGGTTGATGTATTTGGTAACTACTCTCCCGCCGAAAGTGAACTTAAAATTTGAAAGCTATGATGGCATTCCTATACATATTCTTCTGTCTTCATACCCTGAAGTCTAGCTCTTTGCACCACATTTAATGGGACTGGCTGACTTTGAATCCCTTTCAACCTTGAGATTCGATTGACTTGCAGTACAATTATTCCTGTAATTTAGGAAGAACAGTTAACCACCAGAGGGCAGTCAGGTTACAAGGCAGTAAGGAGTGATGCTGGCCATATAATGGGCAGCAAGGTACACATTCAAAATGAAGTGCATCTGTGACTTAAAATTCGTGTTTCAGGGGTGCCTGGGTGGCTCAGTTGGTTAAGTGTCTGCCTTTGGCTCAGGTCATGATCCCAGAGTCCTGGGATCAAGCCCCACTTCGGTCGGGCTCTCTGCTCAGCGGGAAGTCTGCTTCACACTCTCCTCGCTGCTCGTGCTCTCTCTCTATCTCTGTGTCTCTCTCTCAAATAAATAAAATCTTTAAAAAAAAATAAAATTCATATTTCAATTAAATTCCATGAAAATTTTATTGCCGGTTAACCCCTTCCTCTTAGAGGTTTTAAAGGCGGCCTCATTATACCGGCACGATTAATTAAATCATTGGCCACTGAGGACTGATTACACCTCCAGCCTCTCTCATCTTCCTGGAGGTCAGGGGGTCGGGACCAAAAGTTCCAACCCTTTAATGACTTGGTTGGTTCTTCAGGCAACCAGTCCCCATCCTCAGGTGTAGTCCAAAAGTCACCTCCTTAACAAAGCACAAGATATCTTTATCACTCTCAACACCTAGGACATTTCGAGGGTTTTAGGAGCTGTGAGCCAGAAACAGGGATGAAGGCCAAATATGTATTTCTTCTGAATCACAACATCACACTTGCCTCCTGCACTCTATGTTCTGTGTCGTGGCAGGCGTCTGATGACCAATAATCCTTCTGACACCTCACAGCCCAAACATACAATGTTAAGAAGGAAAGAATGGCTGTCCATTCACAGTGTGTGGGATCTCTTTTCATTCACTCAGCAAGTCTGAATTGAGCACTTACTATGTCAAGTACTAATCCATCAACTGGGGATGCAACAAAGCAAAGGTTCCTGACCTTGTGGGACTGACATTCTGGTGGGAGGATAGACTCAATAACAATGAAAAGATGTGGATTATGTAGTGTGTGAGGAGATCAGTGCTGCGGAAGAAAGGAAAAGTAGAGTGTGGGAGGAGATAGGGACTCAGGCAATGAGTTTGCAATTTTCAGTAGGGTGGTTAGGGGAGGAAACACATGACCAAAATTAAGGGGAGGGAACAGGTCTTGTGGCTATCTGGGGAAATAGCCTTTCAGGCAGAGAGAATAAACATGAGAAGGTCCTAAGACAAGAGGGTCCCTGATAGTAGATGAGGTTGAGGTAAGAATGCACATAACAAAGAGATTTTGGTTTTTACTCTGAGGAAGCCTTAAGCTATTGGCAACTGATTCACATATAACCTCACTGTGCCATAGCACTGTGCCAAGCAGTTCACACACTTTCTCATTTAAGCCTTCCAATACCTGTGATATTGTTACCGTGATTAGCTCTATTTCAAATTTTATTTTTATTTTTTATTTATTTATTTTGACAGAGAGAGGGAACACAAGCAGGGGGAGTGGGAGAGGGAGAAACAGGCCTCCCGCCGAGCAGGGAGCCCCATGCGGGGCTCGAACCCAGGACCCTGGGATCATGACCTGAGCCGAAGGCAGACACCTAAACGACTGAGCCACCCAGGCGCTCCCTCTATTTCAAATATTTTTTAAAAAGGAAATTGTAAACATTAGTGACTGGACCAAGTTTTAAATGAAGTAAATGAAGCAAATGGAATTCTTGAAAGCTATAACTTGAAGAATCCCTCCCAATGTGAAGAAACATTGCCTAAACAAGGCTTAGTACCCCAGTTCTGAGGAACTAAAGATGGTGATGATAGGGTGGTTGGGAGGTCCGTAAGTGTTTGAGTTCAACCACCACTAGCTTCTCTTAAAGTTCTATCTGGCTATTACACCCCAAACTTCCTGACACTGTAACTGAACTGACTTCTGTACCACTGACTCCAAAGTTTCCCTCTAGAGCTTGGCCTTTGTGTGGTCTGTTCTGTACACGTTTGGGTTTTTAAGGAGGCAGCATCCATCGCTGAAATGACTTTTCTCTAGGGGGTTCCTCTCAAGCTGTGCTGGTTTAAAAACCCACCCAGGCAGTGCTGCTCACAGGGGATGTCCCCAGGACCCCCAGTGCTGGTCTGTGACAAGGTAAGCAGAGAATTTGAAAATGTTTGTAAACTTTACTAGCCATTTTACAGAGTAGTTTTATGTCTGCTCAATCTAATAGACTGGGGCTTGTATTTAGTATATCTTGTTTTTAAACTTCATTTTTCATAATTTACTAAGTGTTTAATCTGAATATACAGTGGTCCAACCATATATACAAATAGAACTCTGGCCCACAACCTGCAGCAACCTCGATAGAAAACCAATGCCTTATCTATAATAATCAGCCTAGGAAGCCTGCCTGTTTTAAGTCAGACTTGCAGGAAGCCAGGTTGCTAGCTTTAGAAACAACCCAGGAAGTTAAACAATAAACGACCGTAACAATTGGCCCCGAATGGCCAGGACTTGACTGATAACTGACAGCTTCCCTAATTTTTGTCCCAACTTAGGATCAACCAGAGAAAGCCACACATGGCTAGGATCACACAGGATGCCCCACTTCTAATTAGTCTCCCTACAGCTTTCCCATGCCAATAGCCTTCAACGAGGGCACGCCTGAAGCATTGCCTTTTTCCTCTATCAACCATTCCCACTCCTCTGCCTTTGATTTTTCTGCCAAAACTCGACGGATGGTGGCTCTCCTGCATAGCAAGTTCTGAATAAATGGCCTTTGCATTTTTCATGTGGTTGGTCTTGATTCCACATACTGGAAGAATAAAAAGGGAATAAAGAATCTAAACAGGAGTCTTCCACTGCAGACAGGTTGGGGAACATTCTCCCAGGCTCCAAGGTCTCCCGCAGGCGGGGACCTTACAGCCCCCGAGGAGAGAGCATCCCAAACACTAGCCGCCCAGCACAGAGGGGACAAGGGGGTAGCAAGATTCTCCGGACCAGGTGTGGACGGGGGGAGACAGAGGACGGATGCCAGGGGCTGGCGCCGCGGTAGGACGCAGCCCGAGCCTCACACCCCAAACCCTTTCTCCTCTTTCAAGCGTCGGGGTGTCTGAGCTGGAGTGGAGCTTCTGCGCATGCTCTGTACGCACGCGCACTCTCGGCTCCGCCCCTCGGGTCGGTACTGGCGTCACGTCCGGCGACGGCGGCGACGGCGGCGGCTGCTGCGGGTCGCTGGCTTCCCGGGTGCAAGTGTTTGGCCTCCTCCCTCCTCCCGAGGGGCGCGTCCGTGTCGTCGGCGGCTCTAACGTCGCCCGCCGGCCGGTCAGCGCGCTGGGCCTGGTTTCCGCTGCCTCCCCCGGACCACTTAGTCTCAACCCGGGTGTGGTTTCCACTACTAGAGGTGAAGCATCATAGGGAGAATGGGACCTGGGGTCTCGGACCAGGGTGTGTTTGCGTTTCCTGAAGTGGACGCTCAGGGGCCGGAGTGTCACTTACAGTATTTCCTCCAGGACTTGTATGCCGCTGTAGTGCAATCCGAGAATGCCGTTTTTAGGTAACGGGCACCGCGTCATCACCCTGCAGCTGTTTGGATGCTGTTTTTAAATGAATCCCCGAACTCATTTAGCGTTTTAGTGCTTTGGAATTTTTTTTTTTAATTGGTCCCCAAAGCTCAGAACCCTTTAGAATTTCTCATTTTAAACGATTCCTCCTCTTTCCTGTGACTGAAGGGGCTCAGAGCATATCTTTTCAATAAGACCGTGGCTGTCTGAAACTTCTCAGGATTTCTAAAACCTCAGGTTTCTAAAACATATTTATGTATATGTGTATTTTTTTTCTTTTGCATCGACGTTTTAAGCATTTGGGTCAGGCAGTGCAGTACTTCCTGAAAAATGTGTTACATCCATTTTATTCTTAAAATGCCAACCCAATTTGACCTTTTCCTGATGACTTGCTGTCAGTCTTATGAACGTTTATTATGAAAGAACCCGAGACCACTGAACTTTTTGAATTCTGATGCCAGATTTTGAGTCGTTATTCTGTCCCCAGCTTTGTGGCATCACTTGTCAACAGGCTAGGCTCCTGCCCCTCTTCTGGTTTACGATTTAGTGCTATTAATCTGTGGTGGGCTCTGAATTTTGGTAATTGCAAACTTGTGGCTTTTTACTTTACAGCTTAGTTTTTCATTTTACAAAATGCCCATCCAAAAATATGGCTAAGCAAAAGAAAGATTTAAATAACCCGGAATCCTACTACCTAAAGATAACTCATTGCCAATATTTTATAATATAGTCTAATTTTTTAAATGTATTTATAAAACAAAAGGAATCCTAGTGGATACGGTTTGGTAACCCCTTTTGCATGACATATTGTCTCTCTTCATATTTCACTTAATTTTTTTCTTTGAACGTGTGCAATGACTAGGAACTCCCATAAGTAGGAACCCTAGGGCCTGCACCTTGCAAAATCTATTTTAGCAGCTCAGAGGACTTTAGTTTTATGTCTTGGTTTTAGGCCAAGGAACATAAGTGAGGTGGTGTTAGTTGCTTAAAAGGAGATACTTAATGTTGAGTCCTATGCAAGGGCAGCCAGCTTATTAGTATATCGAATTCTTGGGGGGAAGTTGCAGAAAATCATTGGAAAAATTCCCAATTCTTCATTCTTTGTTTTTAAGCACACTCTTTCCCCTTCCTGCTCTTTCTCCTCCAAGAATGAAACATGACTGAGGACTCTCAGAGAAACTTCCGTTCAGTATATTATGAGAAAGTGGGGTTTCGTGGAGTTGAAGAAAAGAAATCATTGGAAATCCTCCTAAAAGATGACCGGCTGGGTGAGTTTTACAAGCTAAATTAAAGTTATTGGGTTTTAATCATCCCAACTGTCCTGAAAGAAATGCTATCTTAAAAGACATTCAGAAGTATTTGTTACCTGCTGTATTTTTTTAGTGATAGGATGACAGGTGAATAGTGTATTTTGGGAGAAGTTATGGATTTTTCAAGTTTATATTTTGCCAAGGCCAAGTCAGATGTCTTTGAAAGGTCTCAAGAAGTCAGTGGTGTTTTTTCTCCTATTTCCCATATATTTCCTTTCCTCAGTTTTCAGAGGTGTTACTAGCTTTTGGGTAAATTCACAGGAACTCTTGGCCATGATTTTTCTTCTAGAGAAAACTGAGACTACATTATGCATTGACATTTTAGTTTCTTTGTAGTAATAATAAGGTCTATTCTGTTGACTAGAATAAAATAAACTGAACCATAGGGAAAAATAGTACTTTATATGTGTAGAATGCTTTTAAATTTCAAAACCAAGGGCGCCTGGGTGGCTCAGTCGGTTGAGCGTCTGCCTTCGGCTCGGGTCATGATCCCAGGGTTCTGGGATCGAGCCCTGCGTCGGGCTCCTTGCTCAGTGGGGAACCTCCTTCTCCCTCTGCCTGCTGTTCCCCCTGCTTGTACTCTCTCTCTGTCAAATAAATAAATAAAATCTTTAAAAAAAAATAAAATTTCAAAACCATTTCCCACCTGATCTTTGATCCTCACTAGACAGTCTGTGTTTTTTAAGTATGTCTGGAATTATTCTTATTTGACAAGTAGGGAGATCCGAGGTCCAGGACATTTGAGTGTGGTATATTGGAAAATGTAGAGATTTGAGGGCTGATCATGCCACTCACTAGCTGTACTAACTTAATCAAGTCACTTAATTACTTGGAGCTTCAGTTTCTGCATTTTTTTTAAAAAAGAGAAATCTTTATTTGAGAGAGAGAGAGCATGAGTGAGGAGGTGGGGGAGAGGGAGAGGGAGAAGGAGAAGCAGACTGCCCGCTGAGCAGGGAGGCCGATGCAGGGCTTGATCCCACAACCCTGAGATCACAATCTAAGCTAAAATCAAGAATCGGACGCTTAACTGGCTGAGCCACCCAGGCACCCCGTTTGCTGCACCCGACAAGCTTGCAGTATGGATTAAATGAAATAAATTCCATAAATAGTACCTACTGCTATGTTGTAGGGAATATAGTAATATATGCAAAATGCATCACCTATGCCATGAAGCACTGATTGTTTTTAAACAGCTAGCTGATGGAACGAACACCTGGGCTAGAAATCAGACCAGCATCGCCTTTCCTAGATTTACTGACTGGAGTAGAATTCTTCTGAAGAAATGTCACTCTACTTTAATTTTTTAAAAATGAAATGCACTTTCATGTGATCAGCGTAAAAAGCTTCTAACTTTTTTTTTCTTTTCCTTCCTCTAGATATTGAGAAACTTTGTACTTTTAGTCAGAGGTTCCCTCTCCCGTCCATGTACCGTGCGCTGGTGTGGAAGGTGCTTCTAGGTATGAGACCCAATGGTTGGAAGGTTTATCTTCAAAAGTGTTGAATGAGGGGATATTCGTCATCTTATCGGTCAGAAAAAGGATTTTTTTAGGCCCTTTGCATATTGGGTCTACTCTCAGGAGACTGAATTACTGCTCACCGTGAAAGCGTTTGTTTAAGAAGGTGACTTCAGTAGCAGTTCATTAAATATGACTCTAAGAGTGTCAGTTTAGTCATGATAGAAGAGAAAGTAACGTGTGTTCCTGAAACCGGGCATGGGAAGAGCATCGTATTGGAGAAAGAAGTGATCTGGGCTTTACCATCACCTGGGTAACCCTGAGGAAGACCCTGCTAGGCCTCAGTTTTTGCACCTGTAAAATGAGGCTATTGAGCTAAATTAACTCCGAGGTCGTAGCTCTCAATTTGTTATCTCTGTGATTCCCAGGTGCAGAGTTCTAACCTCCTGATGAATGCTCTGAGTCAGAAAGAAATGGAAGAGTTTTTCTTCCTAGAAGCACAAATGGGTACATTTCAGTGATGAGTGGCTGAAGGAGAAGGAGAAAGGAACCTGCTTAGTTTCTGTGGAGGAAAATGTGTATTAGGTTCCACAAGCGATTGGCAGCATCCCTTTTGAGCCGAGGATTTTTTTTCTATGACTGCTGAGCCTGCTGATGCATATAACATCCATCCATTACCATTCTCCTTTTCTTTCTTTCTTTAAAAAAAAAATGAAAGTAATCCCAGAATTCTCCTGTGAGGTAGGTGTTAATATCCCAGTTTTACAGATGGGGACAAAGACCGCAGGCTAAATCACTTACCTAAGGCCTGGCAGTCTGTGGCTGAGCTAGGATTTGAGCTTAGGTTGGTAGAGCCCATTTTCTTTCCAAAATGTACTGTATTTTCAGGACTTGAGAAATCTGCAGTCCTAAGTCTGATTTTGTAATGTGGAGGCCGCGAGGGAATACAACCCATACTAGAAAGCACCATATGATGCCTTTTTTTGTTGTGCATCCTGGCAGTCTTTGTGCACTTGGGTTTCTGGTGGGCCACCATCCAGGTAACGTATAGAGAGCAAGTATCAACTATTGTATGTGTTTTTCCCTGAGCATTTTTTTTCTTCAATCTTGGTGTTTCCAGTGGCCATCAAAAAAAAAAAAAAAGCAACAACAACAAAAAACAAACCTTCCAGGGATGTCTTTTAGGCAGTAATGTCGATACTATCTATTTCTGCTGGGAAATACTATGTGTCTTATGAGTTAACAATACCAGCGGATTCGTGGGACTCTGACACTTGGTGAGTGCCAAGACTCGTTCATCACCTCTGTTTTTCCCACTTGTTTTTATCAGGTAAGCGTTTCTTGTTATTTTGTGGTAAAGACGCTGGAGATTTGGAACTGCCATGCTGTGTAAGAGACAAGCTAACTCTTCCCAGCACAGGTGTTGATTACTCAGGGACCTTGTCAGGCCTGCTTCCTGATAGATTTAGGTAAATATCGGAAAGAAGCTTTTTAGAACTAGCTTTTAGTTTGAGGCTTAACATGGGAAGCACTGTGCTGCCCCTAGTAATATGAAGAAGGTTGAATTACAGCTGTTTAGTCTTTATTAGCCCAGATTTGGAGGACATTTTAGTGTATTCCCTTGACTTTTCCAGAAGCCTGGCACAGAACCCCAAAGCTAAGGTAGGTAAAGCTTTATGTCAGGACAAAGAACATTTAGGTGAGTTGGGTTCTAATGTTAACATGGCATCATGTTAGCTAAAGTCTTTACAGCCCATCCAACTTTTGTTTCCCAGAATATTCTTTAGAATACTGGATCTGTGTTTTTTATACCAGAGTGAACTAGTCAAATGTACTAGCTTAGCACGTGCTGTATACTTCCTAGGCGCTTTATGTATATTCATTTTTTAATCATTACAATAACTATGAGATGGGTATTACTAGTCTCTTTTTTCAGATGGAGAAGCTAAGGCATAGGAAAACTAAGTAAGTTGCTGACTGTCATCCAGCCAGTTAATTTTAGAGCTAGAGTTCAAACGCAGGAACTTTGACTCCAGAATCCGTGTTCCTATACGGTCTTGTTAAATTTAATGAGGCTGGAATAAATAAGATTTTTAAGATTTTATTTATTCATTTTAGAGAGAGAGAGCATGCGGGGTGGGGGGAGGGAGAGCGAGTATTCCAAGTAGACTCTGTGCTGAGCGCAGAGCCTGATGTGGTGCTCAATCCCAGGACCCTGAGATCATGACCTGAGCAGAAATCAAGAGTCACACGCTCAACCAACTGAGCCACCCAGGCACTCCTAAGACGTTTTTTTTTTAATAGCAGAATTTAGAGCCTTGAAAATTCATTGTCACCGTTTTATAAATCTATTTGACCCTTGGTACATGTTTTCTCATGTGGACTTTTGAGGCTAGTTGTACAAAGAACATTTGGTGAAATGCTTATCCATCCCATTTCCCACCTCTGACAGCTGAGGAAACAAGTTTCCAGAGAGACATTTGTGAGTCCTGGTGTTATCAGATCTGGGACTAGACTGAAAGCCTGTCCAGTGCTCTTTCCATTAGGCTTTCTTCATGCCATTTGTTTGCAAAAAAAAAAAAAAAGGTTTTTGCCCCAAAGCCTCACGGGTAGACATGTCTAAATGGGTTAATGAGCATAAAATGGCATCAGAATGTAATGTAAGGTGGCCTCATCAGCGAAAATTAGAGATTTCTGTGGTCCTGAAGCTAGGCCACTTTGTGAGCAAGTTTGCCTGTTGGGGAAGAGAAGGATTTGATGAGTTGTTGGTGGCTCTGAGATGAGAGGCCTGTATCGTTAGCTCGGGCAGCCTTCACTAAATACCACGGACTGGGCGGCTTAAACAACAGTTTATATCCTCACGGTTCTGGAGGCTAAGAAGTCCAGGATCAAGGGTGCTGGCTGGTTTTGGTTGTTGGTGCTGTAGGCCTCCCTTCTTGGCTTGTAGATGCTCACCTTCCCACTCTGTCCCCACATGGTAGAGAGAGACCGCAAACTCTGGGATGTCTTCCTTTTCTTAGAAGGGCACCAGCTTTGTTTGGATTACAACCTCATTTAACCTTAATCACTCCTTATTAGTCCTATCTCCACTTACAGGTACATTGGGGCTGGGGCTTTAGTATATGAATTTTGGGGGGAAACAGTTCAGTCCATAGCAGGGACCAGTGCAAAACCTGGAGATGTGTCTGTAAGAGCTGGGGGGAGCCCTGGGCCGACAGTCATAAATTGAATGAAATCATTATGATAATTGACATGGTTATGTTGTTTAGGTGGCACACTCATTCATGGGCTTTTTGATGCCCTTATATTTCTCTTAAATATCAGTGATGCAGTTGGCCTTTAGGACTTAAAATTTAAGACTGTTTTATAGAGAGAATTTGTAAAACACAATCTGTGGTAACTAAACACCTGTGTGATTCCAGTCTAATTGTGCTAGGCAGCTTCTCACTTGGTTCTCTGTAATAGAGGGATTTGGGTCTGTGTCTCAGTATTTTGCCCATTCTTTTTTCCCTCTCGGTCTCTGTATAGGGATCCTGCCTCCGCACCACGAATCCCATGCCCAGGTGATGATGTATCGCAAGGAGCAGTACTGTGATGTCCTTCATGCCCTGGAAGTTGTTCGCTTTGTCAGCGATGCCACACCTCAGGTTGAAGTCTATCTCCGCATGTATCAGCTGGAGTCTGGGAAGTTGCCTCGAAGTCCCTCCTTTCCACTGGTTAGTGGTACTTTAGCTTGATGCTTGATGCTTAGTGTAACTCTAGACTGTCCTGTCTTGCTGGCCTTTGCATCATATTTTGCCTTAGAAACTTTTTTTTTTTAAGATTTTATTTATTTGAGAGAGCTCTCACACACAAGCAGGGGGAGCAGGAGTAGAGGGAGAAGCAGGCTATCCGCTGAGTAGGGAGCCCCATGTGGGGCTCGACCCCAGGACCCTGGGACCATGACCTGAGCCAAAGGCAGATGCTTAACTGACTGAGCCACCCAGGTGCCCCATTTTAGAAACATTCAGTGGCTCTCCTCTGTGTCTTTATGACAAGTTCCATCATTGAGCATTTCCTTACTTTCTGGCACAAAAAGATACTCCAAGCCCATCTTGTACTTTTTCTACCCCAGTCCTAAAATCAGCCATTTCTGTTTTGAACAGTGTGTGGTATTTAGAAACCAAGAAGGGAGCACTAGATGTGCTTGTTGTTTCCAGTGTGATGTTGCTTCTAGGGCCTGTCGGCAGAGCTAGGAAATACATATACATTCTATAAATATATAGAATCCTGTACACACATTCACACACACCTATGTATGTTTATATGTCTCTTTATCTCTGAATATGAAAAAAGCTCAGTTCACGCTGATGCCTCTGATCCCAGCCCAGCATCACTAGTTCTTCTTGCCTTCACCCTTCTGTGTTTGCAGCTTCCTGTCTGACAGTGGCAAATATGAAAAGGCTCCCCTTAGTACAGTTTACTTCTTTGCTCATTCCTCTGGTTGTAAGTGGTAGTGCCAGCTACCTCTTGGCCCTCACCTGCGGGCCCAATGGGCTGCCTCCTTTACTTTGACACTCCTCGGCCTCAGCCCAACAGGCCCCAACCTGTTTTTAAACTTCCGTGTTTGACAAACCCTTAACTCCAGTTACTTGGACTGCTTGTTCTTCATAAAGGGGAAAGAGGGAAAGTTCAGGCAAAGGAATGATTATAGCTCTTGGGCTTTGGCTATTTTAATGCAACTGGAAGTTCCTTTTAGGCTTTTTAACTTTGTGTGTGTGTGGCTAAAACAGTGATTGCTCAAAATCAGGATTTGCCTGCAAGCTGTGCTATTCTATAAAACTTTTTTTTAAAAAAGACTTTGAGAGAGAGTATGAACTGGGGGGGGGTCGGGCAGAGGGAGAAGCAGACTCCCACTCAGCAGGGAGCCCGGTGTGGGGCTTGATCCCAGGACCCCAGATCATGACCTAAGCCGAAGGCAGATGCTTAACCCACTGAGCTACCCAGGCACCCCGAAACTTATTTTTGTATTGCAGTTTGCAACCTACCCACATAGCAGTTTGAGTTTTGACTTGTTCTTTCTTTTGAAGTGAATGATGTGGCTCCCATGGACAGACCTGAGGTTGTCCACTCGTATTAAGGTTATCAAGAGAGAATGGCCCTGAAAATAATTGGAAGTCTTAACAAACTTCTTTTTTTTTTTTTTTTAAAGATTTTATTTATTTATTTGACAGGGAGAGATACAGTGAGAACAGGAACACAAGCAGGGGGAGTGGGAGAGGGAGAAGCAGGCTTCCTGTGGAGCAGGGAGCCCGATGCGGGGCTCGATCCCAGGACCCTGGGACCATGACCTGAGCGGAAGGCAGATGCTTAACGACTGAGCCACCCAGGCGCCCCATCTTTTTTTTTTAAAGATTATTTATTTTGAGAGAGTGAGAATGAGAGAGAGAGAGTACATGAGAGCAGGGAGGGTTAGAGGGAGAAGCAGGCCCCTCACCGAGCAGGGAGCCCGATGCAGGACTCGATCCCGGGACTCCAGGATCATGACCTGAGCCGAAGGCAGTTGCTTAACCAACTGAGCCACCCAGGCACCCCCAGGCACCCCATCTTAACAAACTTCTATAAATTTTGCTTATCTCTGGCAGAGCAAAGTTGGTAGTACTCTGCAAGTTCTTAAATTATGTATTAAATTAGGTTAGATTATCTATTAGTTCAAGAAATCTAAATGATAGGTTATGGTTTTCACCTCATCCCTACTTAGCTTGCCCATGATCCAAGCCCAGACACCTTTGCTGTAGTCTTGGGCAGACGCACCATCAAAGTGTTGGTTTTGGCTCTGCCACCGCACATCTCCCCAGTCATCAAGCCCCACTCAGCCTCATTAGTGTTACCATATAGTAGAGGGTGTGACAGCGCTCGACACAGGGCTGGGAACATACTCACGGACACTGGTCCTCTTCCCTACCCCTCAGACTGTCCTAGAGCCAGTGAGATGCCATGTTCAGGAGCGCCCAGCACAGTGCCCAGTAAGGGGTGGGAGTCCGAGAAAGGAGACTGTCTTTCCCTTTTCTTCCTTCTCTCGCTCATCCTCTGATACGTTAATTAATGTTTAGAAAAATTTATTTTCTGTGATTCTGTTACTTTTTAAAAAAATTTTTATTTTGATTTAATTTAATTAACATATAATGTATTATTGGCTTCAGGGGTAGAATTCAGTGATTCATCAGTTGCATATAACACCCAGTGCTCATTACATCAAGTGCCCTCCTTAATGCCCAGTACCCAATTACCCCATCCCCTGGCTCCCCTCCCCTCCAGCAGCCCTCAGTTTGTTTCCTACTGTGATTCTGTTACTCTTGGACATTTTATAGAATATTAAGAAGTTGAAAGGAGGCCTAAAATGAAATACTTTTTTAAATTAGAGGGATTTAACTTGGGGCTTTTAAGGGATTCGAGAGATACTTTTTAGTTTCTTTTTTTACACTAAAGTCCTTTGGCTGTTAAATCCTAGATGAAAATAATCTTTTTTTTTTTTTAAAGAGAGAGCATGTGTGCATGTGCACATGTGCGTGAGCTGGGGGAGGGGCAGAGGGAGAAATCCCAAGCAGGCTCCACACCTGATGTGGGACTCGATCCTGTGACCCTGAGATCATGACCTGAACCAAAATCAGGAGTTGGGCGCTTAACTGAGTGAGCCACCTAGGTGCTCTTGAAAATGTAATTTTGTGTGAGATACGGTGTTTGAAAACAGAATAGATTTTCAGGTAGTTTCTAGTTTTTATAAGATTACTTTGTTGAAATTTACTTGAAGGTTTATATTCATATTCTGAGTGTTGACACAGGTTTGAGAAATGCCATTCTTCTGATTCCTAAAATTATGATTCTAGGGACATTTTAACTTATTGGGTGCTTAGAACAAAATTCTAAAGATATGTATGAATGCTTTGAAATAAAGAAAATGCTTTATTTTTTTTAAGAAGATGCTTTATTAGTCCTTTTGGAGTCCTTGAACTTTTGCAAATTACTGTATTAACAAACGTCTCCAGTTATTTGTGATGTTTATCACATACTTTTGAAAGAAATTCTCTTCTAGCCCTGGGAATACTTTTGGGTGGAGAGAGCACTTTGCTTATGATTTATGTTTTCTTTGATGACCTTAAATGTTAAAAGGTAGAAAAATCTCTTGAGTGCTCAGTCTGAAACCTGGACAGTCGTAAGCACCACTGATACAAATAGATTTCTTTGGTTACCTGCTCATATCTCTGCCCTGGTCTTCTCTTTAGTGGTAGACTGCTTTTTGGTTCCACTTTGATTTATTAATGCAGCCTCTTCAAAAGTTAGGGGGTAAGGTTTCATTTTTATGAGAGAAATATGTATTCCTTTCTTTTGCTGGCTCCCTCCCTTTACCAGAGATTTATTATTAATCTTTCAGGAGCCAGAAGATGAAGTATTTCTTGCCATTGCCAAAGCCGTGGAAGAGATGGTAGAGGATAGTGTCGACTGTTACTGGATTATCCGATGCTTTGTGAACCAATTAAATAATAAGTACCGGGAGTTTTTACCCCAGCTGGTAAGGGGTGCTTTTTTGGCTCTTGCGGGGGTGGGGGTGAGCAGTGGTACTGGGGAAATAGCCTTACTTCCTCATGCGGCTACAATTATGAGCGGACCCTCTATAGTAAGAGCCAACAATGTTTTCCGTAAAAGATCAAGTAGTAAATATTTCCAGGTTGGTGGGCCAGATGGTCTCTGTGTCTCTGTGTCTCTCTTGCCAACACTCAGCTCTGCTACTCTTGCACTGAAGTGGCCATTGACAGTGCATAAAAGAACGGTCGTGGCTGGATTTGGCCTGCTGCACGCTGTGGTTGGCAACCCCTGCTCTTTTCTATTCCTTATCCTGGTCTAGAATCTACTGGCTTTATCTAGAACTGCCTCTCTGAATTAGTTAAGATTTGAATTTGCTGCATGTAACGGAAAGCCCAACTGCCTGAAGCTTTAGTTTTTTCTCTCACATAACCAGAAGTCTAGAGATAAGGCAGGCCAGAGCTGGTGCCACAGTGCCACGATATCTGCGGGGCCTGGGCTCCTGCCCTTTTGGTCCAGCATTGTTAGGGGTGATCCTTCCTCTCTTTCTCACAGCTGGATGCTGGAGCGACAGCCATGACCTCTGTGTTCTAGGCAGGTAGGAAGGAAGGGCTAAGTCAAAAGTGAAGGAGTAGAAGGAATGGCCAGTCCAGTCTGTCTCTCTTGGCCAGACTCTCCTTCCTCATATCTTTTAGTGGCAGGACTATGGCACCTGGCCACCTCTGTCTGCTGCAGAGGCTGGGAAATGTGGTTTGGTTTGGTTTTAGCCAGGCACATTGTGATCTGTTAAGCTAGGATTCTGTTAGTGAGGAAGGAGAGGTGAATGGCTCTGAGCTGGGCAGCCTCCCGGCCAGCTGCACTCACTCACTTGGGAGTCCAGAGAGTGGCACTGCACTTGCTCCCTCCGCATAAGCTGGTGGTTCTTTGCCATCCTGTTTTTCTAGTTTTTTCCCTTTGTTTCTCTCCTTTAAAAATGAATGTCTCTTTTCTTAAATCATTGAGTTGTTTCATTCGGAAATTCTGTTGAAAGCAGTAACCGAGATCGTGGTTTCAGGGCCAGATGAGGGGCACTGATGGAGGTCGATGGAGCCCTGAGGACCCCTGTGCTAACTGCAGTCGTCAGGGCAGTTGGCGAGAAGACCCTTTAGCTTTGTAGAGCACAGTTACAAGGGTGTTTTATAGATTTCAATTACATAAATTTGATTTTCAGAATTTTAAAATTTAATCCACTTAGTTGATTTCAATAAAAACAAGCATGGTGATGGAAGCATAATGTTACTTGCTTAATTAAATCAAGAGATCCAGATTATACCATGATTTAATTAGCCTTTCTTATTTAGTATCGAAGTAAATTCTGTAGCATTTTGCTAGTTTATGTTTAACGAATTCTTTATTTTTGATAATACAATAAGTATATTCTTGAAGTATTAATCTGGATGAATCCAGTATTCCTATATATCTGTACGCCCTCATCCCCCACTTTCTAAGAAGTAAACACTGTCATTAGCTGGGCGTATATCCTAGACTGTTTTATGTACATCCATCCACATCCACACATACATACATATACACTCGTGAACATCTATACACACACGTATACATGCATATAATGATTTATTTTTCTATATGTATAACTTAAAAAAACAAACATTATGATATTGTTCATATGGCTCCACAAATTTTTTTTTTTTTTAAGATTTTATTTATTTGACAGAGAGAGACACAGAGAGGGAACACAAGCAGGGGGAGTGGGAGAGGGAGAAGCAAGCTTCCCGCAGAGCAGGGAGCCCGATGCGGGGCTTGATCCCTGAACCCTGGGATCATGACCTGAGCTGAAGGCAGATGCTTAACGGCTGAGCCACCCGGGTGCCCCTCTGCAATTTTTTTTTAAACTTGATGTCTTGGAGCACTTTCCAAGTCAGTGCAGATCAGTAGTGTTCAGCCCTGACTTCCTGTTAGAACCACCTGGGAGCTTTTAAAAAATTATTACCTTTCCTCCACCCAAACCCATTAAGTCAGAATCTCTGGGGGTGGGTGGGGCCCAGAATTCTATTTTTTTTTAAAAGCTTCAGGTGATTCTAAAGTGTGGCTAGGGTTGAGAGCTACTCATTTAGAACCACTTTTTTTTCCTCTTAAAAATGTGTTCATATTATTTCCTGTTAAGAATTTTGCCGTATTTTAATATAACAGTTCCATGTTGACAGTCCTCATGCCCTTCTACATGAGCCTTTCTACATATGTGAGTGTTTCTGTAGGGCAGGTCCCTGTAAGGGGATTGCTAGGTTGAAAGAGAAATGTATTTAAAGTTTTTCATTGCCAGGCTGCTCACCCGGAAGGCATACCGATTTTGCTTCCCCCAACAGATAAGATTTTCTATTTTCCACTCCATTGCCAATACCTGATAGTATCAGTTTCTTACATTTTAATCTGATAGTGAAAATGGTATCTCATTTTAATTTACATATCCTCATTTTCTGGTGAAGCTGAGCAGCTTTGCATATGCTTACTGGCCATTTGTATTTGTCCACCTCTCTATTTTGTTTGCATCTTTCTTTTTTATTTGTAAGAGTTATTGATATATTCAGGATATTAATCCTGCGTTACATATGTTGACAGTCTTTTCTCCCTGTCTGTTGTATAGAGATTTTTAAAGTTTTGATACAATTGGATATGTCAGTATTTTGCTTTTTATATCTTATTTAGGAAACCCTTTCTAACTCCAAGATTGTTATTATTTTTTATTTTTTTTATTTTTTATTGTTATGTTAATCACCATACATTACATCATTAGTTTTTGATGTAGTGTTCCATGATTCATTGTTTGTGCATAACACCCAGTGCTCCACGCAGAATGTGCCCTCTTTAATACCCATCACCAGGCTAACCCATCCCCCCACCCTTCTCCCCTCTAGGACCCTCAGTTTGTTTTTCAGAGTCCATCGTCTCTCATGGTTCGTCTCCCTCTCCGACTTACTCCCCTTCATTCTTCCCCTCCTGCTATCTTCTTTTTCTTTTTTCTTAACATATGTTGCATTATTTGTTTCAGAGGTACAGATCTGTGATTCAGCAGTCTTGCACAATTCACAGCGATAACTCCAAGATTAAAAGACAGATTTTTAAAAAACTTTCCTCTAACTTTTAAAAAATATTTAAGTATTTTATTTATTTTAATATTTTCTTGGAGAGAGTGCCCTCAAGCAAGCAGGAGTGGGGGTGGGGTGGGAGGGGCAGAGGGAGAGAGAGCATCTTAAGCAGACTCCAGCGCCCAGCATGGAGCCCGATGCTGAGCTCGATCTCATGACCCCTGAGATCATGACCTGAGCCGAAATCAAGAGTCAAAGGCTTAACTGACTGAGCCACCCAGGTGCCTCTATATTGAAACATTTTAAAATTGAGTCCTTTAATTTGTGAGGGATTTGTGTTTGTGATTGGTACTGACACAGATTTGACCTTGTTTCTTTGTTGTTAACTGCAGTAAACCTGTAGTCAGCCTCCTCTTTCCCTTTCGGTTTGATAGTTGTTAAGCTCCCGCTTCATGCCAGGCAGTTTACTTTATTCATGAAAACTTAATTTTAGCACACCTCTCTTTTTATAGATGAGGAAACTGAAGCACAGAGCAGTTAAGTAACTTGCCCAAGGTCACACAGTTAGTAAGCAGGAGAACTACCTACCACTTAATGCTATCTGTTGGTTCATTCTTTCGTTCACAGATTTGAAATGCCACCTTTATCATATACTAGATTTCTGTATGTTTTTGTATCTCTTTCTGGGTTTTTTTCCCCATCAAGCTATTTGTCTGTTCTTTGGCCAATACCATATGATTTATTCAGTATAGCTCCCTCGTATGTTTTGGTAGCTGGTAGGGAAAATTCCTTCATGTTGTTGTTCTGTTTCAAAAGTGCCCTGGCTTTGCTTGAACTCCAGTTTCTTTTTAGAAATGAATTTTGAGGGGCGCCTGGGTGGCTCAGTCGGTTAAGCATCTGCCTTCAGCTCAGGTCATGATCCCAGGGTCCTGGGATCGAGCTCCGCATCGGGCTCCCTGCTCAGCGGAAGCCTGCTTCTCCCTCTCCCTCTCCCCCTTCTTGTGTTCCCTCTCTCGCTGTGTCTCTCTCTGTCAAAAAATAAATAAAATCTTAAAAAAAAAAAACGAAATGAGTTTTGAATCAGCAAGATACTAAATGCCCACTAAACCTTAATGTCTTCATCTTCAAAAAAGAGGTTTGTTTTAGTATGTGCATTATAGTACTTAGCACATAGTTTTAAATAGTTACGAATTTTTTTTCAGGTTCTTCAGAATGTGTAAGAAAAGTTGAATTTCCTTTGTGTTGCTCTGACTTACTGGTTTACGTGAACTTTTCTCTTTAAGCTGTGCTTAGTTTCCCATAAAATTTTTATTACTGTGGTTAGTGGATCTCTTCTTCCTAGCTTCTTGTTAAAGTTTTTATAATCTTGTCTATCATTTTCAAATTTTTGTGGTTTTGCCGACTAAATTTGGTTATCACAAAGCATAGCTTGTTTGATCAGATAGGTGAGAGATAGATGATACCTCAGTGTAGCTTTTTTTTTAAGGGTGAAATCTTTTTCATTGATTTTTAAAAATTTTAATTCTAGTATAGTTCACATACAGTGTTGTATTAGTTTCAGGTGTACAATATAGTGATTCAACAGTTCTGTATGTTTCTCAGTCTCCTCATGTTAAGTGTACTCTTAATCTCTATTGCCTATTTCACCCACCCCCCACCTCCCCTCTGGGAACTATCAGTTGTCTGGAGTTAAGTTTCTGTTTCTTGGTTTGTCTCCCTCTCTTTTTCCTTCCCCCTATGTTCATCTGTTTTTTGTTTTTTTTTTTTAAGATTTTATTTATTTATTTGACAGAGAGCACAAGCAGGGGGAGCTGTAGAGGGAGAAGCAGGCTCCCCATTGAGCAGAGAGCCCAATGTGGGGCTCGATCCCAGGACCCTGGGATCATGACCTGAGCCGAAGGCACACACTTAACTGACTGAGCCACCCAGGCGCCACACATCTGTTTTGTTTCTTAAATTCCACATATGACTGAGATCATATGGTACTGGCCTATCTCAGACTTATTTCACTTAACATCATACCCTCTAGCTCCATCCATGTCATTGCAAATGGCAAGATTTCATTCTTTTTTATGGCTGAGTAATATTCCATTGTGTATATATACCACATCTTCTTTATCCATTCATCTGTTGGTGAACACTTGGGCTGTTTCCATAGTTTGGGTTATTGTAGATAATGCTGTAGTAAACATTGGGGTGCATGTATCTCCTTGAATTAGTGTTTTTATATTTTTTAGTTGGCTAAATACCCAGTCGTGTGATTACTAGAGATGAAACCTTAGTGTAGTTTTTTTTTTTTTTTTTTTTTTTAAATACCAAGGTTGAGCATCTTTCTTATGGGTGAGAGTCATTTGCATTTTTTCTTTGGAGGTTTTGGCTTTTTCTTCTCTGTTTTTAGAAGCTCTCTTTATTTAGGAATATTCACCCTTTAAGGTTGTTTATTAACCTGGGAAAATGCCCACAATATGTTGAGTGCAAAGAGCAAGATACTAAATTGTGTGTTCAGTGTGTGTAATGTATACCGGAAAACAATTGGGTGCTATACAATCTATATATTATCAGTAGTTATCTTTGGGTAGTGTGAGTTTAAGGGATCTTTATATCCTTCTTTATTCTTTACTGTATTTTTGAGATTTCTTATAATGAACATATTATCAGGAAAAAAGATTTAGAAAAATTTAAGACGGGCAGGAAGACATACATTGAGTGATTATCAAGATGTTGATTAACATATTTCAACATTTCATTTAGTTCATGATATTCACTTACTCAATGATTATATATTGAGTGCTTACTATGCTGAGTAATGTTCTAGGTATTGGAGAACTAGCAGTGAACAAAATAGATATAGTTCCTGCCCTCACTGAGTTTACAGTATGATAAGGGAAGAGGCAATAAATAGTTTAAAAATTTCACTCATCTGTATCTTATTTGTTATTTGTACTGACTTTTGGATGAGATTTTCTTTGCTATGAGACATAATATATAAATATGTGTATGTGTGTGTTCACCCATGTCAGTTTGTGAAAAAACATTCCATTGGCAGAACCACCCAAAATTCTAGATAGGGTTTTAGAGGTGAAAGGTGAGGACAAGAGCTCTTTGACAACTTGTACTTTGGAGAAAAGCTCCTGTTTTGGGGAGCTGTGTGTTAAACAGAAGAAATTAGAGATCCCCTGAAAGAGGAGAAAACTGGGCCTGATATTAATATGTGAGCCTCTCTTTGCCTGGCTAGTTCCCGTCATTCTGTGTAAGCCAGCTCGGATGTCACCTCTCTGGGAAAGGGTGACTTGTAAAGCCTGGGTTTGGATTCCCACCTCGATGTGTCCAGCATCCTGTGCTTACCCCATGATAGCTTTATTACATGTTTGTCTCTCTTTTTTAAAAAGATTTTATTTATTTGACAGAGAGAGAGACACAGCGAGAGAGGGAACACAAGCAGGGGGAGTGGGAGAGGGAGAAGCAAACTTCCCGCTGAGCAGGGAGCCTGATGTGGGGCTCGATCCCTAGACCCTGGGATCGTGACCTGAGCCGAAGGCAGACGCTTAACGACTGAGCCACCCAGGTGCCCCTATATGTTTGTCTCAAGCAGATTGTACGCTCCCTGAAGGCAGGGACATTATGTCATTATGTCATCATTTACTCTATTCCCTGTATGTAGCATAGGGTTTGGCTCTAGCCAACATTGTAAGGGTTATGAATTACCTCTTTGGGCGAGATGCAGATATTTAGTAAAATAAACATTTGCATTTGCTTAGGTGATAAGGGATGTTGTGTTTTTCTGGATAAGGAATACAGACTTCAGGGTTTGACCCCCAAGGGCCATTCTTGGCCAGTGGACCCTAAATACAGCAGCTTGCCAGGTGGATTTGGCTGGTCTGGGAGCTGGCTTTGTTAGCTCGCCCAGGCTCCTAGAGTTGGCTGCTGCTTAACCTTTCATGGGAGAGGCTACCAGATGGAATCCAGGTGCTTTGTTCCCCCCGCGTTATTTCTCTGCCTCCTGAGAATTCTCCTGCACGCGGGGTACAGAGTGTCTCCTCCAGATGTCTCTGTTGTAGGGGTCTCTTTGGCGTGGTGCACAGTAGCGCTTGGCAGAAGTGTGGTCTAGGGCTGGTGGGCCCTTTTCGTGTCCAGCTCTTTTTGTCTCATTCTTCTGAACTCCCTCTCCCCATTTTGGTCCCACTCTGTCTATTTGATCTTACCCTTTCCCCTTCCCCCTTTTTCCTGAGTGTATCGTCTACGGCTCCAGGGCAGCTGGGAGTGTCATGGGCCTTTCTTAGTTCCCCTGAACAGTTGACTTTTGCCTTTGGCTGTGGAACCTTGTTAGTGCTGTTAGGGGGCACATTAGGGGGAACAACTGTTTTGTTTTGCCCGGTCCCGTCCTGGAAAACCCCTCAGTCCCGCATTGCTGGTTGCTCTGGTTAGTGCTGACCTGGGAACTTTGCATCACCCATGACTTGGGTGAGTCTTAAGTTTTGTTTTCTAGCACTTACTTGCATTCAGCATGTACATTCGATTCATCTTATTCATCACAGGCTATAAGATTGGGTAATGTTATGTCACAGAAAACGAGTAATCTCCCTTCCTGTTTAATCATTAGCCAAAGGCTTTTGAACAGTACTTGAATCTGGAAGATAGCCGTTTGCTGAGTCATCTGAAGACATGTTCCGCGCTGTCCAGACTTCCTTACGATCTCTGGTTCAAGAGGTGCTTCGCAGGGTGCTTGCCTGAATCCAGTTTACAGAGGCAAGTATCGCTTTCAGAGATGGTCGAAGGCCTGAAGGCCGAGGAGCATCCTGGTTTTTCATGTGATCGTCCTTCAGAGTATGAATTTGCTTTAGGACAATACCATAATTTGAAGTTAACTTCTCTGGCAGGCAACAGAGCAACTTGATTCTACTTATTATTTATACAGTTAGAAATGCTGGAATATTAGTAACGTTAACCTCACATGAATACAAATTAATGTTAATGGTAGAAATATTAGAATATACAATTAGAAAACTTGAAGGCCCTCAGTCTGTTGGATGCTGTACACTATTCACATCTGAAACCGTCTCCGGGAGCTTATATAGGTGTAAGCTTTTCTTTTCCAGAAATGTGGTAAATCCTGATCTGGAGGAAATCTTCCTATTTCTTAGTTCCATCGTGACATCTTTAAAGTAGCTGAAGGTGGGCAGAGATCAGAGACTCACATTCAGCTTTCATTTGTTTCAGACATGTGTTTCTGGCATTTCAGAGTCCTGTCCCCTCCCCAAGACTGTATGAGGTAGTTGGGAAGAAAGGTGACGTGCAGAGAACATCACAAGACAGTACATGACTAAGCACATAGAGTGTAACACCAACTTTAAGAGGTATAGGAATTATCAGAATAGTTTTTCTAGAGTGGTCACAGATCAATAACTAGCCCCTTAAGCTCTTTTTAAAAAAATTTATTTATTAGAGATAGAGCGAGATAGAGAGAGCACAGGCAGGGGGCGGAGAGGGGAGAAGCAGGCTCTGTGCTGAGCAGGGAGCCTGATGCAGGACTCGATCCCAGGACCCTGAGATCGTGACCTGAGCCAAAGTTAGACGCTTAACCCACTGAGCCACCCAGGTGCCTCCTAGCTCCTTAAGCTCTTGGAGAAGTTTTAGGAATTTGAACCGCTAGAAAATGAAATTGCATTGATCTCATTTCATATGCTGCTTTTGTTATTCCTTAGTATTTAATTATTAGATTAGCATTACACAATATTAATAAAATCCAAACTTTGGTTTAAGACTTTCCTTCCCTCAAATGTCAGGTTTAAAACCTTAGGGAATGGGTGTCTGGTGGATCTCTTACAGAGCAAGTACTTTTTAGTGATCATTCCTTTTTCCCTTCCAGTGCTGATTGTGTGTGAAATATGTTTCAAAATGGCTGATTTGTTGTGTTTTTGCTTTTCTGATGATTATTTCATTACTGCTTTTCTCTGAAGTTTATACTTAAAAGGAGTAATTTGATTTAATTTTGTAATTTGAGATGTTTAACTAAACAAATTTCAAACTCAAATAATTTTATTACATCACTTGATTTTTTTTATAGGGTTTGGGATAAAGTTGTAAGTGGATCCTGTAAGATCCTAGTTTTTGTAGCTGTGGAAATTTTGTTAACCTTTAAAATAAAAGTAATGGCTCTGAACAGTGCAGAGAAGATAACAAAGTTTCTGGAAAATGTAAGTGTGCTTTTTTTTAAAATTTGATTTTGAATCTAGAAAGGAAGTCCGTTTAGCAAGCCAGATTTTACTACTGCATTACAGTCTTTCTCTGATATTTTTACGTTATAAGAAACACTTTTTCCCCTTGGAAAAATTCAGCTTAAAGTTGGTCTGTGGGTTATAATTTGCATCCTCTCTCTGGGGGATGATGGTCTGAGTAGTGAGACTGTTAACCGTGAGTGTGTGCCTGAAGACCAGAGTCTTATCGCCTGATATGACCACCAGGAAGCTTGTTGAGAAAAGGAAGAGGTGAGTGAGATCTGTCATACAAGGTCGAGTAATCCTTCTTAGTGGAAATGGAAGCCTGATGTTGTGGGGGATTTTGTAAGCCTTTCATTGCTGTTAATATCTGGCGGAATCCCAGTTGGGTTTGATCATGTGCTTAAGTATATACTTACTGCGTGTAGGGAAGGGTCTAAATGAATCTCCGTGTATCTTAGAATACCCTTAACCAGGGAAGAGTTGGAGGAGATTTATGCCGGGATGAATTTCACTGGACCCAGAATCTATTCTTTTTTTTAATTGGCCGCTATTAACATTTGAATAGCGGCTCAGTAAATAGTACCACGTGAAGGCGTGGTGAATACATGAGTCCTCAGCATTCTGTTAGTGGCTGACTGTGCCAGGGCCCATGCTAAGTATTTTTCACGGAGTCTCCCACATAATCCTAAATGGCCCTAGGAAGAGAGGCTGTCATTTGCCCCCTTTTAGACATGGGATCTGAACTTGGGTAGCCTGCCGGGGAGCACACAGTGGGCAGTGCAGGCTTGAAACCCGGGTAGTCTGAGCGGAGCTCTTCAGCCTGTCCTCCGGTGGCCTGTGAAACAAAGATCCTGGCCTCAGCCTTTCACATGATCGCTTTCTGAAAAGTCGTGAGAACTCGGCGGCGGGGGGGGGGGGGAGGGGGCGGCGGGTGGATGGGGATGTAAGTGCTATGGTGCAGGGAATGAGGGAGACAAGGATGTTAATACACACTGAAATTTCACGACGACTGCTTTGCTTGTCCACAGATTCCCCAGGACAGCTCGGACGCGATTGTGAGCAAGGCCATCGACTTGTGGCACAAGCACTGCGGGACCCCAGTGCACTCAGCCTGATGGCTCCCTGCACACACGGCCTACCAGGCTGCGCTGAGCGGTGTGTTCTCAGGACGCTACCCACTACACTCACTGAAAATCCGGTTCTTGCTTTGGTGCTCAAAGCATCATTTTTCCCCCAGTAAAATTATTTAAGATACCTGGTGACACTGTTTGGAGCAGCAACTTGTGGTTACACAGACGTACAAAGCTCAACTCTGAATAGCATTTAAAAGGGTTATTCAAAAATACCTCCCTGTTTTCCATGTATCAGCCAGGGAGGGTGCGTGCTTTGATAGGCAAGCCTGCCCTGCTCCTCTCTAATTAGCACCACGCTCGTTACTTTCTAAAGCTATTTCTGGAATAAAGAACAACTACCTTTTGTTGACAACTCAGATTTGGCTCTCGTTGATGCGGTACTTGTTTAAATCTAAGCTGTCTGCTTTCTGAGGCTTTGTCTTGCCAAATAGGTTTCAATAAAAGCCTTATATTTTTTTTTCTCTGTGTCAGTCAGAATGAAAGTTATGGAACAAAATATGTCTAAGTTTACCTACCAGGAGAGAGAATACTTGTGGATGTCATGCTTTTTCCTTTTTTTTTTTTTTTTAAGATTTTATTTATTTGACAGAGCGAGACACAGCAAGAGAGGGAACACAAGCAGGGGGAGTGGGAGAAGGAGAAGCAGGCCTCCCGCAGAGTGGGGTGCCCGATGCGGGGCTCGATCCCAGGACCCTGGGATCATGACCTGAGCTGAAGGCAGACACTTAACGACCGAGCCACCCAGGCGCCCCTGTCATGCTTTTTCCTGATGGGTCATTAAATGTTGGGTGGGCTCTAGGGAGCACTCTGCCACCCAGCATTGGAATGGGAGAAATGGCAGGCTAAGGTTAATAGCTAATGCCGCTGGGCCCTGTTGTGCCACATAATGGTTACTGTTGATTGGACAGTTGTAGGCTTTGAGACCGGTGATTGAGACAAGGCCCTTTGTTCAAGACTGATTCAGCTGTTGGACCTGCAGGAGCCTGAGTGGTGAGTAGGTTCTCTACCCTACCCCACACCCAGAAGAGGAGGGAGACCATGAAATTATGCAGCTAGAATTTGGAGAATTCCTTCCCTCCCTAATGTGTAGAATAACTGTTGACAAAGAAGTCAGAGTGAAAGGAATCACTGAAGCCAGCTGGTACTTCTGTATAGTAACATACCCAAGAGTATTTCATTTTTAAAACAAAAAAATACACCCAGAAGAAAACTTCTTAAGGCAAAATGCTGTCTACAGTTACTGCTTTACATTTATTCAGTGATTGGCTCTGCCCCTGAAGGACTTTGCAGCCAGTTGAAGACAGAAGAGAAAACACATAAGAAGGAATTCCTGCTCCAGTTGTCTGGTGTTTGGTGATCTTGGGGGATATGGGAAATTCACAGAGAAGTCCTAAAACAAAAATAATTTTACTTCTATTTAATTTATGAGCTATGTATCATCAGTACAGCTTTTTAGTAAAATACAGTTTATAAAGTCAAGTGATAGTAAATCTCAACTCCAGAGAAAGAGGAAAGGAAGAATTAGCAACCTCTCAACAAGAGGATAGTTTCAAGGTATGTGCTCGTGCTTACTCCTGAATTCTGGGAGAAGACTGGCATGTCATAGAGCAAGTGTGGGAGGCAGAGCGGGGGCAGGGGGCACCTGGGATGCTTGGGCAGGAGGAAGCCTAGGGGGCCGACACATGTCTCTTCACAACTTTGGGGAGGGTGCAGAGGAGCTGAAGGGAAGACTTACTGTCCTACGAAGGGATTGGAACAGAAGTATTCTGCCAAACCCAGGTTGGTCAGACCTTTCTGGTGAAAGACTCGGGGGTGGGATTTTCTCTTAAAGTGAGTCAATGTGACACCATCAAGAGTTTTCTTTCTTAGACAACCAAATAGCTCCATCTCAGCAGAAGGGTTTTTTAAGGACCCCTGTGAGGACAGTGGCAGAATAGGTGAGGATCCAATTTCATTTTGATATCAGAATTTTGTTTTGCTGAGAGCCTCAGTATTTTGAAAGTGTTTCTGCCCACTGCCTTTGGTGAGAAGCACAGCCCCTGATGAAAATACCCCCATAGTCCCATGATTCAAAGCATTTTGTCAGGATACTGCAGAACTTCCCCTTGGTGTTACAGCCCAGGGTTTTTGTTACAGCTGAAACTGTTAGGGCTAATCTGTGGGGCTCTCCCTCTCCCTTGGAAAACTGGGATTTAACATTATTAAATTTAGTTTTAGTCCTTCCCAGGCACAGTGTCGTCTTTTTTTTAAACTTAGCTTATTCATTCATTCATTCATTTTTTACAGTGTGTTCATAAACATGATGAAAAAGCTCCAAATCTGCTCTGCTTAGGAGCTCCTGAGAGCCCAGGAAGGTTGAGGCGTGTGTGGCTTCTGCCTCATAACAGATGGAATGCACGGATTACATGCACACAGGCTTGTGGGGGTGTGTCTGAGGTTACTTCAGCAAATGGGTCAAGGTTCGTTAGAATGAAGTGCTTTTTTTGGTTAATGGAAAGTTTGCCTGAAAATCATGGGGCCAGGCCTCAAATCTCATGATGTGGAAGAAGAGCCCTGAAGGCCTCCATCCTCTCTGGCTGTGAGTGTGAGGCGTATGGCTGCCCTGTCTTGAATTACTTAAGAATCCTCCCTTGGCTCTGACCCATTCCCTGTCGTGTGGTTATCACTTCCTCAGTGTGGGGATTTATTTTTTTTCTCCCTAAGAGTGAAGACTCTGGAGGGAAGTCCGTGAGGGTGAGGAGGGTAAAAATAGAGCGTCTGTGCCCTGGACGAGTCTTTCCTGGTTGTGTGAGATTTCAAGCAGGAGACGAGTCCAGACTTCTTCGGCCAGGGGCGGCCTCGGTGGGGGCGGGTAGCTGGCACGGCGGCCGGCTCTGCTGTCCGCATCTGCCGGGGGTCATGGAGGATAAGCAGCTTTTGTCTTCAGCTGGATGTTCTGAGTTTGGAAGGGCCAGAGGACTTGTCTCCCTGCCTTGACAGGGGAGTGTGGGAATTTTTGTAGCAGGAGTTGGTGGTGTTCTCTCTGGTGGATGAAACAAAGAGCTGTTTCTCCTTTAGACTCCGTGCCAAATGAAACTGCTTGTGGTTCTTGGCACCAGCCACACCTCTCTAGGTCAGCTGTTGCTTACCCGGTGTTGGTGCCAGTTTGGGAGGGAGGGGCGGTGTAGGAAGAGGGGTGATGAGAACAGGAGGGAGCTCGGAATTCTCCTGGAGGACCACAGGCTGGGGTGGGGGTGCCGTCCTTTTTACTGCTTTCCTGACTGGTTCTTCCCTGTCTTTTTTGGTTTCTTTCAGCCAATTTTTATTGTGGAGGTTAAAAAGTAAGTGGACAGTTAGTTGCCAGGTGAGGTGATAGTTCCTCACCTCCCTCCTGGGAGCGGGTTTTACTGTAGGGCAACCACAGGGGGAAGCTGGAGAATGTGATCCAAGAAGAACATGAGAAAGATCCTTCCAGAAACTTGTCCTGACTGAGCAGAACTCCAAATAGAACATCACAGTAGCTGCTTATTGTTCAGACCTCAAGATCACACCTGGAACGTAGGTACGACTGTGTTGTTTACCAAGAACTTGTGCACACTCTGACCGGGGATTGTGTGCACGCTAGCTTCTGACCCTCCTGCTCCTGCAGAGTTAGCGAAGGGCACCCTGCCGTTTGTAGTTTTGGCATCTCTCTTCTCCCATCCCTGCCTGCCCTCTTCACTAATGCCCTGAAGGTTTGGAAGGGAGGCAGCAAGGAGGAGGAGAGCTTTGGACAGCTCACTTGCGCACGTGAGAAGGCTGCGCTCACCGCCATGGGGAGCCTCTGTCCCCCGCCTCCCATTTCTCCTCTTCATTTCTGTTTGGTTCATTCGCTCTCTTAGCCATTCAGTCGTGAAATCAGCTTGAACACACTCCTAATTATGGACCAGGTACTGAGCTTAATGCCGAACAAGTCCTATGGTGGCTGCCCTCTTAGAGCTTGTAATCATGTGGGGAAGACAAATACTAAATTAAACAAGGACGTACTGTGTTCTCTCTGTCTTAAAGGGTACCTCTCAACTCCTCTGAGCTGCCCACGAAGGAGAAGGTAACGTGGGTTGGCCGAGGAGCTTCAGAGCAGGGTTAGGATTGCTCTGACAGGTGTGCTGCTTCTTCCCTTGTTCGCAGGGAGGGTTGGGGTGTGGGGGGAGGGCCTGAGCTTTTGCCCCACTCACTAGTTCCAACACCCTGGGGGGCTCGCTCAGTCTGTGTTTGCTTCGCTACCATCAAACAGCTGCGATTCTGTTACATTCCTTACCCTGCAGAGTGCTGGTGAATGATAAAGCAGTTTAGGAAATCTGGAGCTCTGTATAACATCGAGTATTTTTGATAGCATTGTTCACAAGGACGCAGCCAGGCGCTGCCTGTTTGAATTAGCACTGCGCTTCAAGGCCTAACTCCCTCCGCCTGAACTGCCGAGCTGAAAGGGGGTTCTCCTTCCTCTCAGCCTCTGTCCCTTTGCAGCCACCACTCATTTCATGGTAATTGTTTGGAAGGCTCTTGTTTGCTAGTTTTGGACTTTCTCTAAACTTTCCATGTGGTTTTCCTCTAAACTGCAAGCCTCTGGAGGCCTGTGTCTTGTTCCCTTTCTCTGCTCCCCGCCTCATCTAGTACAGCTCCTCGTGCAGGTTTTCTCCTGCAAACCGTGCCAGCCCACCCTTCTCTGGGCTTGTGCTCATCTTTGCCAGGAACGTCCTCTCCCCCCTGCAGGGCTCCATCTCTGAAGTTCAGCTCAAGCAGCCCCTCCTCCAGGAAGCTCTCCTGGCTGTCTGCCCCTTTCCTGTTGCCTCAGGCTTGTTTCCTTCCTGGTACTCTGTGTTCTTTTCACCACATTTAATACTTTGGCTGAGGTCCCACACTAGCCCATGAGCTCCTTGAGGGTAGAGATGTGTCTCATTCTCTTTTCCTTTCCCTCAGAGCCAAAGCACATCTCAGCCGGCTTGGTCTCGCCATGGATATGAGTCTGAGTACCATGCATGCCCGCCTCAGTGTTAAGACTTCTGTGGTGACAAGTAGTGGAATTGTCTGGAGCTAGCTTGCTTAGAGGAGACCTTTATTCTAGGATACAGGGTGAGGCTCAGGACTGGCTAGCTCTGGGACGGGACTAACGAGAGCCTGGGCTCTTGGACCTACGCTGTGTGTTTGCTGTGTTCTCTCTCCCTGCGGTGCAGATTGCTCGGGTAGAAGATGCCTTACTCTAAGATCCTCAGCTGCTCTGTCATGGGTCCAGCCTCTGGAGACGGTCTCTTGGTTCCAGTTCGTCAGACTGAGAGAGGCTGTGGTCCAGCTGGGCTCCAGTGCTGGCCGTAGACTGGTCATCCCTAGCCGTGGGAATGGAGGGC